ATAAAATGCCAGTCCTGCCGAACATAGTCGGCAGGAATGTTCAAGAGCTCAATCCTCTGTCGAGAGGATCCTTTGCGCTCATGTGGAACGGCACCCGATTTTACATTGGGGAAATTATGGGCCTGTATAAACCCGGCGCACATAGTCGTTACGGCTCTGTTCCCAGCGCTACCTCAGTTTCAAACCTCATTTTTCTTTCTGTGCGTGTCTATCTACCGTTGACAACTGTGCGTGATTCTGTCATCAATTACGATTGTCTGCTAATTACTGGATGGGTAGGGGGGAGGAGACTCCGACTCCGAAGATGATCAAGAAGAAGCCGCCATCGTCACCCCCTTATTTTGCTGCTACCACAAAAATTCGCGAATTCGACTCCACACCCACGCGAAGATAAACCACCTCCTCTTTAACCTTGGACGCAAGCACAGTGTCTTTGACTCAACTGAAGTGGGGGCTCGGGAACTCAAACTCAAAGAACACGCAGCACTTTGTTGGACATTGCTCACTGGGCCTGGCGAGATTTCTAAAGAGGTCAAGAAGTTAACGGTGAGGATTCCCCCGCGAACCGTGTAGAATTGCACCAGCAGCAGCAGCGAAAAATTCAATTTTGACGTGATTTGTTACAAAAATTTGACCTACACGTGACGACCCTTGTCCGACTTAAGCTTTTTGAGGCCCAGGGTGCCCCAAACCGTAAGCTTTTTGAGCCTGAAATCTCAAAAATTTCCGGACAATCCTTGGCGGGAGCTTCCCGGGGCCTGGTTGACTGCAGGCACCGAGGAAGAAATGATTTTACTGCATCATTACTGGGGCAGAGACTAGAGTCCAGTGGTACTAATATCCTTCGCCGGATTACCATGAAAATGCTGCGGTTTGGCCTTCCTTCTCCGAGTGGCTTAGGCTCAAAATTTAACGTTATGTGCAAGTTATGTGAACATTCAATATTGAACATGAGCGGAGACCGGACGGGCCGCGGCGTCCCGGGGCCGTCCGATTTACATAAGCCGATTTGCGGACATTCGCGACCCCCATAGGAACAAAACAGAAACTCCGTTTCTGTTTGTTAATATGAACCTAGCCGTCACCGCTATGAAAAAATGATAGAACAACATCGATATCTCCGCCGTTCAGGAGACGGGGCTCTACACCACCATTTCAAGAAATTGTTTCTGAAACATCAGATCACCGACAATGTTAAAACGTGTTGATGAACATTTTGAAGAGATTTTTCCAAGGTTCATGGAATGTTTGAGGGGAAACATTTGCCCAAGCATGGTCGAAGGTTGTGTTGACGTTGGTCAAACATTGTATGCAGGTTGTCCAGAAGTCTCCCAGAGTACTCATCTGAGAGTACGCAGTAAGATGGACTGACAGGTTCATTACCACAGAATATTGCCTGGTGTCTTCTTTGGCTCATGCGTGCATACAATACTGTTACTGAGAATTTTAGCAACGCAAAATCTCAGAGAAATTTGAAGTACCTGCATTGATTGTATGCAAATGAGATGCCTTTATCGAAATTTCAAAACAAACATCATTCAAACGAGGTTACAGTATGTGCGATGGAACCGTGTACTCGCGACGGAACTGTGTACTCGTGGCGTGAAGGCAAAAGCCGGATCGCTCGGTTGGGAAGCAGATCAGGGTCCGTGCGCATCAGAACAAACACGGCCAATGTTTGGTGGACCCACACAACTCCTTCATTCCTGCATCGTCCACCCATCCTCATCTGCCTATGGTGCCATGTCTCCTGCTACTCGGAGCCTACTCCAAGGTTATGAACCACCTGACATGCTGCTGGTTGTTGCCACCTCAACGAGACTTCGGCATTCAGTGGACGCACTGTACAAACAGCCCAGGGGCACCGACACCGTTTCAGTATGTACTTCTCTCTCAATGCTCCGCCTCAGGGTGTCGCAAGTCCAAACCTCTCTCGTCAATGTAATGGCCTGAGCCATATAGACCTACGCAAACTCAAGCGTGTCAATTTGGCAAATGTCAAGTTCGCAACCCTCCCAATTATTTCAACTTCAAGACTGCAAGAGTGCTTCGGGTACCTCCGAGTCTGCAAGCTTTCCTCAAGCCTTACTGTCGCTTTTCTTCTGCAAACTACCCTCAAATCAACTCATATGAACATTCTGTTTCGGTGGAGCCCCAACTCCTTTCGCACTCAATACGCTCTTGTGCCAGTTGCTGTTGGCGTGATCTTGTGTGCGAAGGCCTAAACGTCCGGTCTGTCTATACCTCTCGCTTGATATGTATACTAACTGATAACTTCACAGACAACCATGATGAACGATGGGTGGCGGCGGATTTGGTGGGCGGTTATTTAGCTTGTGTATTTAGCTTGTGTATTTAGGTCTAATTCCAAACATTTTCATCGCATTATGGCTGGATGCCGGTAGTGATCAGCAGAAAGTCGGTACAAATGTTAACTAAAGTCGGTGCAGATGTTATTGTGATTCCTTAAAAAACCTCCCAAGGATGTTGGCTGCAACATCACAGAAGCGTTCACATTTTTAAAGCCTCTAGGGATATAACGATCTGTGTTGTGGGGACGTTGTCGGCAACATCCCATGATGGCCGAGCGATTATTACCAAACATCACCATCAGAACATTCTGAAAATATATTTTCCAAATGGCGGTGTAACCCATCGGTGGCAAAATTCAGGGCGGCCGCAGGGAAGGAAAAAAAAAAAGACATAAAAGTGAATGTCCGCCGTTCAGAAAACGAAAATAGGGAACCGCTGATGGGGCTCGAACCCACAACCTTCCGCCCAGAAGTGGGTTCGAGCCCCGTAAGGGGCGAGGACCCACTTCTGAGGCGGACCGAGCGCGGGAGCGCGAGGCTCGTGCTGTTTACCGCGAAGCGGCAGGTCCCGAGCGCGGGGCGCGAAGGAAAGTCTGTTTACCGCGAAGCGGCAGGTGCCTGGTGCCAACTGCCCGAGCGCGACAGCGCGAGGTTCGTGCTGTTTACCGCGAAGCGGCAGGTGTTTGGTTCCGTCCCCCGAGCGCGGGAGCGCGAGGCTCGTGCTGTTTACCGCGAAGCGGCAGGTGCCTGGCTCCCATTGCCCGAGCGCGGAAGCGCGAGGTTCGAACTGTCTACCGCGGAGCGGCAGGTCCGGGTGCGCGCGCAAGGTTCGTGGTATGTCCCGCGGTGCAATTACTACCACTGCCACAGGACCGACTTTTCTGCAGAATCCATCCACATACCCGCCTCGCCCACCAGACACGTGTTTTGCGGCCAGTCGCGTCAACAAGCCACCACACCAAATCACGACCCCATCGCTATCCCTCGCTTTGGCCGTCATCGCCACCGTCACGTCACCGTCGGCCCGGTCACCGACACGCGTCCTCCTTTCCTCATCGTCGACCCGCTGTCCCCCAACGACGCCGCCCCTGTTGTTCTCTGTTTGCCCGCCCTGCCATTGCCGTCCGCCTCTCCGTCCCACCGTCCAACGTCCTCTTGCGCGCCGCGAACGGGCCCACACCACCACTCAACGGACACATCCAACGCACCCACCGATGTTTCCAATGCGTCCAGGCTCACAGCGTCGTTGCCAACGCTTCCATCGCGTTCGCGTATCCAGCGTACACTCGTGCAACCGCCGCAGTCCCGCCGTCCCCACGCACTACGGCTCGCATGCACACACGCTATCCGCCCGCATCTCACATCGACGCCGCGTCCACCTCCGCGCACTCTTCTCGAAAGCCACCTGCGCACACTTACAATGCACCCGATGCGCACGCCGTTGCCATTGTTAGTTCTTGCCCCTTCCCATCGAGGCCCAGCGCCGGCGCGTAAACCCCTTGGTGTCAGCATCAGCACCGCGAACCTGCCGCGTCAACTACTGTGAGTGTACACCCCCGCTACTCGCTGTTTTTGCTGCCGCAGCTAATTCTACTACAGCTCACGCCGTCCAACTCGCACCGTGTTGCGCAACGCTGAACGACGAACAGAATCACTCACGGGAACATCGAGTGCAGGCGCCACCCACTACAGCCCCGTACACAACACGCTGTATGCCGCGCATGTAGCGGCCCGCGCGCAGCGTTCCAGTCTGTGTCCCAGGGCCGGTTGAGTCGGTCAACCAGTCGTGCGGCCAAGTCTCACGCGCCCAAGTCGCGAATCACCCTCCGCGCTCTGTACGCCGATACACTCAAGCCTGGCGGTGAATTTGCGCGTGCGGCTTATGCGCGTGCCTGCATCGACATGACACCCGACGCGGACGATCCCAGACTCGTCGAAATGCCGCGGGGTGCCTGCAACCGCAACCACCTTGCACTTTTCCCTGTCACCACGTTGATTCGCTGTGTCCCTTTGCCGCCAATGCGCCGCGTCGCGCGAGAAGTTGTAAAGCCGTTCGCGCCCAAGGAGGACGACTCGGGTGGAGTTTATCCTTTTTGATGGACCGTTGGCGGCGCGAGCGCGATCTGCAGGAGGAATTGTTAATTGGTTTGAAGTTCTCCCATTTACATTCATCCTGCAAACCATTTGACTGCCTATGAATTCTGTGAAAGTGAACGGTCATCAAGCGTGCGGTCCAAGATTCATCATTTTCCTGCTCGCAACCTCAACACCTCGAGCCACCGAAAATGATTTCAAGTAAAACTTTTCATGTAGAAACGCAGTCCTGGACGTGTTTGCGCTCCAATTGACGCCGTAAGGACAAGAGGTAAAAATAATATTCAAAACAGACAAGATGGCCAAACGCCAGCGCAGGGCGCGTGGACGACGAGCACCAGCGAGATGGCGGGGCCCTGGCCAAGGACAGCTGCGCCGCGAGGTTGACACTCTGGCTAGTTTACCAACCTGAACGGCCAACTGTCATTAACTTTTTCACAGTACATGTACCAGTTTCAAAGTTGGCCTTTAGCTTGGGCGGATCCTGCGTATATACTTTTGTACTTGACGAAACAACTTCCGCTGCGATTGGACATCCACCATGCTGCCCGCCACCATCTCACAAGCAACCTCGCATCCTCTTATCCTGCGCACGCCAAGTGGTCTAACGGTTAAGACGCACCGGAATAAGTGTACACAGGGACTTTTTCACTTATCTGGTGAATCTGGGTTCGACTCCCAGCAATGGCATCCCTTTGCTTTGGGAGCAAGAATTTTTCTCGAGCGGTGGACAGAAATTCAATGTTTCACGAATTTTTCGCACTGGAGTAGCAAGTATGTTTTAATAGGGGCTAGACTTTGCATTGCTTTGCGTCACCAACCACACCAAGACTCTGGATGTCCCATTTAATTTATGGCTGTAGATTTGACTGGGTTCATACTTTAACAGATACTGTATTGGTGAGAACCAAGTGAGAACCCAAATCCGGGAGCTTGAGTTCCGCCACGTAATCACATGTTTTGGGATATTCTCACGCCGCGCCTCTTGCACTTCCACCACCATGAACCCAACAGCCAGTTATACCTTGACACGAGAGTCTGTTGTGGACGATTCCGACGACGAAATGCTTACTGCACCACCTGCTCCGAAAAGACCTCCACCCACCAGCGACGATGGCGATGATGTCGATGGAGACGCCCCGATGAAACCCCCAGCGAAGAAACCCCGACGAAAGGCGCTCAAGAACCGTGCTCCATCATCCTCTCCCGAGTCTTCCCCTGCACCACCCAAAGACAAAACTACCCGAGTCACCAAGAAGAAAGTTCTCGCCTCGCCTCAATCAACAAAGTCCAAAAAGACCCGTCAGATCTCAAAACAAGCCGCCACTGCTGTCGTCTCCGATCTTGCTCTACTCGTGACCCAAATCCAGAGATCCAGAATGACTATAGCGAGACTGGACAAAGAAACAGCGACCATCAATGCAGCGTCAGTTACCGCTGAGCTTGAGCTGGAGGCAATGCGCACAGCCAATGCACAGTCGCGTCGAGATGCAGACACCGCCAGACAAGGTCTGTACTATCCATGCATGCATTGTGTCAATACTTACCTGCCGCGGACAGAAGGTGCACTGAAACTGCAAGAGGCGCAGGCCACCCGTTTGGTGCTCGAGCTTCGGCTTGAAGACGCCAAGGCAAAAGCCATCCAAAGCAAGTCCCTTCATTATTGTACGAGACTACTCAACCAACCGCCCGAGACAGAAGCTGCGCCGCCCCCGCCCTCCACTTTTGGTTTCACCCAATTTTCCAATACACCGACGCGCGGTATCTTCACAACCACGACAAACATATCTGAAACTACATTTCGGCCCGCTTTGCCTTCCAGCCAGTTCGGCTTGCCCTCCTCCAGTACGGCCACCCCCTTCGGCGCTCAAAGTGTAAACACGACCCGAAACTCTTTCTTTGCCGGCACAAGCTCTTCGTTCCGATCCAATTAAACACTCGTTATCAGGGGAAAGAGATGAGAGATAACAAAGAGGCGTATAGGTAGTCTGACATGTCATCACATGATGTAAAGGAACACTGTTTCCAACCATGGTCAACGACGACAATCCAAATGAGCCGGAAGACAGTACAAGCGAGCCACAGTATCGGATGATTGGAAAGCCAGCCGCAACCATCTCGATGTCTCGAGCCGCGCTCCTCGTTCATCAGCTCGAAAGCAATAAGCTCACTAAAGCCAAGAATGAGCTTGAGGTTGCCAAGCGCCGTGCAGCCAGTACTGCCCCTCAGCTGGCAAAGGAAAGGGTGCGAGCAGAGGAGATTGAGGCAGAGGCGGCCCTATCAGCCAATAAAATGAGTTCGTCGCTTGTTGTGCTCATTCTTGGCTTAATTTCGACGCCTGCTGTAGAAGACTCTCTTTCGGAAGAGCACGAAGCTATTCGAAAGATTGAATTTGAGATCGAGCTAGCAGGACAGGCGAAAGAAAGTAGGTCACCCGCCAGAACTACTTGCAGACTACTCATGTACTGTGTTCACAGATGGGCCACCCACCAGCACCGCAGCATTCGGTCAAAGCGGCTTCGCAGGCACTGGGCAACCTGGCAGATAGTATATATATTGTAACGCCAGAGAAAAAAAAACGTGACAGCATTCCTTTCCTGCCACCATGGACGAAGATCTGGAACAGCGCGATCCCAGAGTCTCGCGCATCGCACAGATGGCAGCCAATCCACCACTCCCCCGCGACGACTACATCTCCGTCACAGGTCACCACATCGCGCCTACCGTCCCCGATGAGGTTGAACCGAAAGCAAAGAAAAGAGCGGTCAAATTTCTCACTACGCTCAAGTCCACTATCGAAGATCCAGGGGCAAACCCGATGGCAAAGGCCATCGCCTTGGCAGAGGAATGGGCAGCGACAGTAGGCGACAGAGAAAACCCACTGACCCAGCTGCATCGCGTCAAGATGTTGTCCGATTGGGAGGCCATGTTGTCTTTGGATGACCCCAGCCTACCCCGCACGCAGCATTGGGATCGGGATGTGGTGATGCGGTACTGGAATACGTACCTCCATGTCATGGCGCGTGTCCTTTTTACTCTTTTGCTTCTCGCAATCTGAACTTGCCTGTAGGTAACAGCCACCAATCCAAAAAGCAAAGACCCGTCGAGGCGTCTCAAGGCACGAACAGTCTCTGCCTGGTGCGGCTTGTTTCTGCACTCGATCGTCGCGTATACGCGCGATCCCGCCAAGGCCGGCGCCAAGTGCGGCCTGACTCTTTTAATCAAGGAGGGCCTATACCAAAAGCTCAAGAACCAGGTCTTGAAACGTATGTTCTGTTCCTAGTCTTTTTGGGCGTCAATTTCACGACGATCGCAGTCATCGAAGACTTTAAGCTTGAACGACACCACAACAAAAAAGTCTATTTCGGCAGACCCGAGTTGGAGTTAATCATAGACCACGTCCTGAACGAGTCACGCACGAACGGCCGCCAAGTCGCCATCCAACACATCCTGCGATGGCTGTTGACCTTTTTCTTTACCGCAAGAGGTTCCACCTTGGGTGCCGCCCATAAGATCTACAGGGATCTTAATTATGTTTGTCGATTTTCTTGCAGGTTTCCTTCACATTTTCCATCTTGTGCGTCATACAGGTTCTCCTTTGTGGACATATTCGGATCTTTTGTTTGGGTTATATGATCTGGGAAATTCACATTAGTCTTTTACAACACAAGGTGTGTCGTCCCTCCACTGGCTTATTCCGATCAGTCTCTCACTTTACTTTAGAAGCACATTTGGACAGTCGATGGAAGCGAACAACATTTTGTTGCGGATGGCGTCAAGAAGCCCCACAACATGCTGTTTGACGTGCCCACCTACACCCTCATACATTTGTACCTTCGAGGTGCCTTCAAGGGACGCTACGACGTGCGCCGCTTTCGTTGGTTTTGTCTGTCCGGGAGTCTAATGTTGTGCAGAGTGTCGAAGCTCTTTGCGCCGCCAGGGGAGAGCTGGTGATTAATGCAGAGTTTGCAGACGTCCCCTTGTGTGTCGAACCCCCGCCGTTCCTTTTCCTATGATTAACATTCTTTCTCTCCTAGCTTCCTCGAGGCAACCCCAGCTGGCCGGGAATTCCGGGAGCCCCATGTTGCCGCCATGGCACGAGCCGGCTCTGATGCTCTCCGACACTATGCGACAGCGGTGGGTCTTCCCGCTGCCGGCACAGGTGCTCTCCGCCGTGAGGGAGGCAACATGGTTGGTGTAAATACATGTCTGTCGGAAATAAAGAGCTGATCCATTTTCTTGTAGTACGCTCTGCAGCTTGGTACCCGCTTTGCAAAGGACGTCATGAACCACGCCTCAGACGAAGGCCCGCACCGCGACTCCTATTCGCGTAATATGGAGAATTTCCGGCTGGTTGGAGTTCGCCTGGGCGAAACTGCGGGCGAAGCAGAGAGCGCCCCTGGCGTCAAGCTCCGGGTAAGTGATTTTTGACTCGGTCTTTCATAGGCTTATGTGAGTATAGGAAAATGATGCTCGCCAGGCATTCGCGAGCTGGGCGGTCGAGTGTCTGACTCGACGTTCACTTGCGGAGGAAGTGAATCCGGAGGAGCAGAAACGCGAGAAAAACGAGGCCAAATTGACTCGGCAGGTATATACCTATTTTTGCGCCCATATCAGCCACTCAACCACTCCTCAGAAAACCAATCCCGAGCTCGCAGATCTGCTCAAAAAGCGCGACGATGCCCATGAAAAATACTTGAAGTGTTTCAACGCAATGGCAAGAGGCTACAAGTTGTCAAGCCATCAACAGATATGGAATGTTGCCACTGGCACAGTCGAAGTAGACGGCAAGCAGGTCGAGTTTGCACAGGGTTTCAACCAAAAAACAGCGTTGCCCGTGCGTGCATTGCTCCATCTATTTCCTCCAACTGATAAACAAATAGATATATGACGCCTTCAAGGCAGCACACAAGACTTTTTTAGCTCGACAAACGGCCATTAGTCGGAAGATCAAGCGCCAGTCTGGAATTGAGGCCAATAACGACCTCATCACCGGTCCGTTGACTGGCTCTGCGGAAGATAGGCAGGAGATTATCAGAATGTTAAACCAAGAAAACCCTTCTGTCCACATCAGAAACGCGGTAAATGATGCCATGGGTGCGTTTGAACCTGTATATTTGAAGCAGGTCACTAATTTGGCATTAGCTGCCTCCATTGCGCCGGCGGAGATGACCGACGTGAACCAGATCGAGATATGGGCTTCGAACCTGGCGGCCGCAAGGACCCGGGTTGGACTTGTAGAAGCGACTTACGATGATGACGACGATGAAGTCGGAGCGCAAGATAGAGTCTTTGCGTTTTTCGACCGACTCACCATCAGTCCACCAGCAACCGAATTTGCACCCTACAGCGCCGACAAGGGCAAGGGCAAAGACACGGCCACTGACACGGCCACTGACGGTGATGATTATGATGATGCAAGTTTCGAGCGGCCTCAGATCGAAGAAGACAAGGAGACCGATGTCCTCAATCTGCCCATCGCAGACGTACGTCGCGCCATGTTCGACTACCTAATCGAGCCCGTTCTTACCGCTCGAATGTGCGCCAAGCACAAGGTACGTTTGTCTGTCACGTATGACTGCCACCTCTAACGGCCTCAGACGACGGCGGAGGATATTGCGGAGGGGCTTGCAGATGGCTTCAAGTGCCCTCTGTGCGCCAAGTACACTCATCGTCATCCCATACCTGCCAACATCTCGGCGTCGATGTGGAAATTTCAAAGACACATGTAAGTGTTCTCAACACAAGGCGAATTGGTACTGATGATCAATGTACAGTCTACGAGCGCACTCCCCGTGGAAGGACCTCGAGTTACAAATGATCCAGCCCAATGGCAAATACCGATGCCCCGCAGGTGATTTCGAGTACGTATCCGTGTGTCTGTCGAATGACTGCACCCTGACTGTTCCTCTTCGATTCACCAGCGATGCATTGTCGGTAGCTGCGGTCCGCAAACACGCCCTCTCGTCTTTTTGTGCAAATTCGGCCGAGTATCGCGCTTTAAGTGATGCCCACGACCAGCAGGAGCCAGCACGAGAGGCCCAACCCCTGCACGCACGGGCATTTCGCTCGCACAAGGCGGAAGCGGCTGCAAATGACTCCGAGGAGGAGGACGAGCCAGAGGTCGACGCCGAGGAGCAAGGTGGCGAGGTCGACACCAAGAAGCAAGGCGAAGAGGTTGAACTGAAGGAGACCATGGACGACCCCATGAAGGAATTGAGGAGGGTCGTCGAGGCGGTAATATTTTCTTTTGCTTGCAGCTGATAACGTTTCTCAATGTATCCGGTATTCAGGCGGCAAAAGACAAAGACGACGAGGAAGTGAACGAACTGAAAGAGGTCCTTTTCGGCTACCTCGACGAGGTCAGCGTGCCCTTGCCAAGCATGGGCAAAGGACGAGCCAGTAAACGAATCAAACCGGAGGATTGGGATTCGTTGAACCTGGACACACTTTGATGTAATGAATGTGTATATCCTCTTTCTGCTCCAGTCAACGGAACGATGTGAAATGCTCTGCGACCATAGGTTCACCAAAAAGTCCAACTTAACAACGACAGTGCTCATGAAACAACGAAACCATGTCAGCGACGAAACCATGCGAAATGCTCAACCAAAATGACCAACTCACTAACAACAGTACTTGTAAAGTAAAGTAAAAAGATCAACCGCCGATGGGACTCGAACCCACAGCCTTTGCCTAACGAGAGAAATTTAGGAAGACAACGCACTACCTTTGTGCTACGGCGGCCTTGTTGAAAGAGCGAAGCGATTCAGCAATATAACGCGCCATCAAGCTTGCCAAACAAATCACTACATGTCGAGAAGAAACTCAATCAGGACTTTGGATACAGAGTCAAAACAAGGCCAGAAACTGTGGCATAGAATGTGAGGCGGCAATCTTGAAAGAGACGGCGGCATGCAGAGATGCACTGAGGGCAAGCTGTATTCCATACACACAAGGTCAGCACTCCGTCTGTTCTAAAGCCACCCCATGAATGCGCTGGTGGGTTGGCGCTCAAATGAACCCGGAAACTTGTCAAACGGATCAGCGGTTGTCGAGGAATCCTGAAAGTTCAGGAATTTCCCGATTTGGGATGTTGGCGTTGAGTGACGGTTTGGGTTTTGAAAGCCAACTTTGCGCCTGCGGTCGATCCACCACTCCACGCAGAAAATATACGGGAAAAATGCTTTTGAGATGGCAATGTTTCTCAGAGAAATGATCCACTGGTGAACCCCATTTGGATGTCGCTTCTCCTGTGCTCCTCGGATTCACCGGCTCGATGTCCAGCAAGCCCGGGATTCTTCGGATCAGGGAAGCCCTTTGGGATTGCATTGTGGTTTCAACTTTCGATACCTTGACTTGATTCTACGCATACGTTGTACATGTTACATATATACGAGTGATACAGAGATATAACAGGGTCTCTGTCAGTCATTAAGCTTTCTTGTTGTGAACTCGAGCGTGTCTCGTCAACTGGTCCGTCCGGGCAAAAGACTTGTTGCATCCAGGTTCTGTACAGGCGTATGGTCTTGCACCTGTGTGGGTTCGGAGCTGCGTAAGGGGTTAGCGAATGGTGCTTCAGAAAACGAGACGCCGTACATGTTTAGACAGATTGGACGATTCCGAGAACGCCTTTTCACAGTGGGGACATTTGAACGGCTTGGACCCGTTATGGGTCCGCTTGTGAATGGTGAGCGCGCCAGTAATCGCAAACGATTTCCCACAACCAGGATAGTCGCACGAATATGGTTCTGGAAGGGCGTTTAAGCATAGCCCTCAGCAATCGGCACATATGTACTGACTTTCCTGGGTATGCCGCCGCATATGCTGTTGCAGAGTGGCAGCCTCCGAGAAGTTCTGCAGGCAGATCTTGCACTGGAACGGTCGATGGCCGGTGTGCGACTAAAAACAAGATGAACCATGCGGAAGATACCACAAACGATAAACGAACCTGTAGATGTCTGCATAGTTTCTGTTTACTGGTGAAACCGCTTTCACCATGCCTGGGGCAATCTTGCCAATAGCAGTCGTAGGAATTTTTCCCCGCGCCGACATGGACATTGCTTAGATGTGCTGTGAGATCGTCCAGGGAGCCGAAGCTTTGTCCGCACGAATGCCAGCGACAAATATGCCCCTCTTGTGGGTCATTATCTGATGACGACGGGACAGAGAGCTCTTGAGGAAGATCACAGTTATGCACGGGACGGGGTGGTTCAGAGGTTGCATCCAAATATTTTGGGAGGTCATTCAATCCAAGATGGTCGTGCAAGAGGTGGGAGGACAAAACACCCAACATTGAGTCGACATCGCCCGAGGATGGCCCCGGAACGGAATCGGGAGTAGGATATATGTTGCAGTCTTTCCACTGACACGACATCGAAAAGAGGTCTCGCGCACTGGATGAGGCGGGGGTCGAGGCAGATGGCGGATGGTGCAGATGTGTGAGATTGACATGTTCAGCAAGATGAGAGAGACTTGCGAACGATGCCCCGCAGTCGCCCCACATGCAAGTCAAAGCGGACGACGGAGCGTCGCTGACCACTGATACAGCACGCGGCGACGAGCTGGATTGATGCGGCGTGTGGACGACAACATCCGCAACCGCTGGAGTGCTGAAGATCGCAGAGGTTGCGCCCATGTCGACGCAGCTTGACGGTATGGTGTCGGATGTACTCCTCCCCTCGCAAGAGCACACAAACGTCTTCAGGGAAGAGTCCCAGGACCAGGTTGTTTCTGGATGGTTTCTGGGCTCCTCATAGTACGAATGAAAGTCTGTGCAACATTGCAGCTGAAAAACAATCTCAGCGACCGGGCAGTGTCAACGAGGAATAGTTCTGGACGCACAAACTCATCGAACCCGTTGCAGTCCGTGCAGTTCGTCGCATCTTCGCAAACGAGATCGCAGTGATTCCCGGGACAGACGCAATCGGCAGCCTCGTCGCTGCAGGGGACGACGACGCACTGGTCGGTGCATTGGTTCGTCATGGGCGCTACGTGGCAATCAGTGCAGTTGGCAAGCTTCAGATTTTCAAAGGTGGGCATATCTGTCGGATAGACTTGTGCAAATGGAGGCAGCTGAGGAGGTACTCTGAGGACCGCTCCGGTTGCTTACTTAGTCCTATGCGATCACGTGTGGCCTCATGTCAACCAACATTTTCTTCCATCCCCTTTCATCGCGCCTGCATGCCACCTGAGACCTCCTGCTCGACCGAATATCGTCGCTCTTTCCTTGCTAAAGGAGAGCAATCTCTACCACCTCTTTACCCAACTTCTGGATTCCATCCGCTCTGTCGCGACCCTCCATTTCGTCGAGTCGAAAACAGCGCTCAGAAACGCGCTCAAAACTACAAAGCCGTCTGCGGTCCTGCTTATCGATGCGGCCATCACAAGAGAAGAAAACGCGGATGTTCTCCAGCAATTGATCCAGTTTACGAGGGCAGGAGGCACCGTTGTCTGTTGTTGCAACTTTAGCAACCGCGTGAATTACCGCGCAGCGTCCGAATACTTTTCTCAGTGGCGTCTGCCCTGGGACGCGGGATCTTATTTCAGAACTACCGTGCACCGTAACCCAGGTGCCGTCTCCGGCATGTCTTTGGACGGCCTTCCCGCGTCGTACAGTATCAAGTCGATGTCTCTCATCCGTGTTCCGGCCCACCAGGCCGTTTACAATCCCCTATCGACCTCGTTGATCGAATCCCATGTGTTTGAGGCGGACGAGTTTCCCGTGGATCCAGCAGAAACCCCCTGCGCATATGCTCCTGTGGGTCAAGGTTATTTCGGTTATGTGGGCGATGTGAACAATGAAGAGGGCAGCACGAAAACGATCCTAGCCATGATTCATCTCCTCCCATCCGCTATATTACCTGCGACATCGAAGCCCACGAGAGGTCTAATACCTTTACCCAATGGACGCTTTGAGGCGGCACCAGACCATGATGACCCGGATGCACCAGCTATGTTCTCGGACGCAATCCGAAGGGCTGGCGAGCAGGAGATGATGATTGGAAATAGAGTGGGCAGAACAGGAGAGACCCTTCCACGTCCAACTGCAGGCACTTCGATTGTAAATTCCCCATCAAGCGCACCCATTTCCACCCGCACACCGCGCCGTCCTCGTGAATCAGAAGTCGAAAAGAGGGCCGTGAAACGCGCAGCCCATTCCAAGAAAAAGAAGGAAAAAGCTGAGCAGCTGAAAGATCAAGTGAACGAGACTATTGCAAATCAACTCGAAAAGCTAACGCTTTACCGCAGGGCAATGAGCTTTTCCGAAAAGGCGACTACCAAAAATCTATTGCGTTTTACAAGCAGGCCATTGCTGTCCGCGGACCTCAACCTACCTATCAGGCCAACCTCGCCGCAGCTTACTTGAAACTGAACATGTGCGACAGTGCTGCAATATATATATATATAACTAATTCTTACTTTCGCAAAGGAATTCCGAAGCCGAGGCGGCATGCGAGGAAGCGCTCAAATATGACCCTAAGCATCTCAAGGCGCGATTCCGCCGAGGTTCAGCTAGGCTCAATATGCTGTGCTTCAAGGACGCCATCCAAGGTCAGAACCATCTCCCCGTTCGTCATCATACGCTCATTTACGTGACATTCAGACTTCAAAGCATGCGCCAAACTCGGACCTACCAATCCCCAATTTCCTGCTGCGATTATCAACACACGCCAAGAGTTCCTGAAGATGAAAGCGGCTGGGTATGAAGATCAGTGGGCCGGTTCCGGTGGCCAAGAGCTTGATTCGGATGAGGAAGAAGACGAAGACGATGGTTTCGACTTTTTGGAGCCTAGGCTGGACGACAAGCCCCTCGAGATCGTCTCGGAAAATGACTCAAGCGACTTTGAACACGAAGGAAACGATGTGCCTTGCCGATTTTACAATCACGATGGCTGCTTGAAAGGATCCAAATGCAAATTCAAACATGTACCGAGCAAGGACACGACCAGAGATGAACTGTACGTTTGTGTATAGTATATATCTACTCTTGTTCACATGAGAATTCTACAGAGGTCGCAATGTCTGCAACTTTTGGCTTCTAGATGGCTGTCGTTTCGGGGATCGTTGCGTGTATGCTCATTCCAAAGAGTATTTGCCGGAGGTTGGTTGGTGGACCTCCGGTGAGGATATGGATCTGATGCAAGATGTCATGAATACCCTGAACCAGATTCGTGGCTTTGCATAGTTTGTAGCTTTTATTCTGTTCTCCACTCAAAACCAATTGCATCCACCTCAATACCGAGCAGACTGTCGGAGGCCCAATATATTTAATCATCAGCAACGCTATTCGGGCAGGCAAATCAGCTCGCGCAAGAACAGCTTTTGCCCTTCGGTCATCTCGTTGGCCCCTGTTGCGCAATTAGGGGGACCACCTTAAAGCGTGGCCTATGCACGGAAAAAATATTATTCCGGCTGCTTAGGCTGGTTTCCAGAATCAAGGACCGAGTCTCAGGACGGTCGGCCAGTCAATGATAGTGTAAATCGTGAAAGGCGGAACTGGCTAACAAGATAGTGGAGCACCAGGCTTCGCGCGGTGATGTCAATCTCAACGAGATGTCCCTTTGTTTGCCAGAGCTACATAGCACCAACTCCGTTGTTACAACTTACAAGCATCGATCATTGCGCACTGCAAAGAAAGAGAAAAGCTATGAGCTGCTAATAAACGTCAGGTGCAAATGGGGGGCTAAAGACATTGACAAGTGGTGACAATAGAACGACGGACACCATGTTGACTCAGACGCCAT